TACTATATGCTTGTAAACAATCATGTTGATCGGATATTGATAGTAATCTGATCGGATTAGTTTTTTGTCAACAGTTAACTATAACACTATTTATTTTTTTTATACAAAATTGATTTGATTATGTAGTTAGCAATATCTGATCAACGTGATTTTTTTACAAGTATATAATATTCGACGAGTTCTACTTATTGAACGGTTTAAATTATCAAAACGGGATCCGTGATGGGCCCCACAGGCCGAACAACACCGTTTTGTTTGTGCACCCGCTTGTTCCCTTTGTCCAACCAAAGTCAGCTAAAGTACAACTTACGTGAGAAGTGAGTTGTACCTTTTTTTTTTTTGTCTAAAATTAAATTTTTTATATTTTTTTTGATTAATTGCGATAACTTTTTAATTTTTTTAGTAACTTTTTGACTCTTTTGAAAGATGTCAAACGAGCCCTTAGATTCCACAAGCGTACATTTTTTATTATAGTATTTAGTTGTCAAACATATACCTGTATATGTGATACAAAGGTTGTGTTTGGTAGAGCTTTGTAACTATGATTTGAGAGTATGAGTTGTATTTTGAGTTTATGAGTTTTGGAATTATGGTTTGAGTGTGAAAAATTTATTTTGTGAAACAATTTTGAAAATAGTTTTGAATTGAGTGAGAAATTTTTGATTTGACATTTGATATTTGATACAAAAATTTACAACTCATAACCAAATATACAACTCAAAATTCTATTAAAACACAAAAAATTTTAAAAAATTTGAAAAATATTTTTTTCGAATATATAAAAATTAACATATCAATTGTAAAAAAAGAAAAAAAAATTTGCATTGTTTTGGTTAATCGGCTGGACGACCGGTTAGGCCAAGTTTTGGAATTTTTTTTTTTGAAAATCATGCTCTGAAACAGAGTTTTCTGTAGAGTAGTGAAAAATTAATTCCATAACTTTATCCAAACGTCATATTCAAATGTAGGAATAGAAAACTCGTTTGACAATGATTCCAAACAGAGCAAAAAAAAATTATATGGACTTTTTGATGCTCAGAGCATGTGTAATGGATAATTGGTTAGTCTTTAAGATTTATAAGCTCTGTTTAGCAAGTTGGTTTGTGGGTGTTTTTGGCTAAAATAATTACAAAAAATAAAATAAGTTTTTTAGTTCAATAAGATAATATCACATTTAATTCATAATTATTATATTTTTTTTCTCATAAAAAAATTAAAAAAATCAAAAAAATTTCTCAAATTAAATTTTTTAACCTTAAATTAAAATAATAAAAAAAATTAAAAAATTAAAAAGCCAATCCGCATAGGTGGTCCAATTTCAATGTACGGAGCCACATAACTGAATGTTACAATTTTTTAATGTCTTTTCAGCTGACTGGAAATGCTAAGTCGGCATGGGCTTTCTCACCTATGGGTCACAAATGGGCAAGTTTGGCCAGACTATTTAGGTATTATCAGATCTGAACCGTTCAATATGTAGAACTTATCGAGTGCTATATGTTTATAAAAAATCACGTTGATCGGATATCGATAGTTATGTGATTAGAATAGATTTTTGTTAACCGTTAATTTATTTACCGTCTATTTTTTTTTATACAAAACTGATTTGATCATATAACTATCGATATCCGATTAACGTGATTTTTTACAGACATATAATATTCGACGAGTTCTACACATTAAACGATTAAGATTGTCAAAACGGGACCTGTGGTGGGTCTCCACGGACCCAACAACACGATCCAGTCCGATTAAGGATTGGACAGAAGCCATTCCCTTATCAGATATACTTCTCTCTCTTCAAGTGTGCTCGTTATCTTCTTTTTGCTTCTGGAAACTTTTCCTTCTGAAACAGTTCAAAGCCTGCTGGAAATGATGTTATTGGAATTGACTTGGGTACCACAAACTCTTGCGTTGCAGTAATGGAGGGCACGGTTAGATATATTTTAGGAAAAATGAGCGAGACCACTAAAAAGAGGAGCACTAATAGTTCTAAAGTGGTATGGGTCTCATATGATAGAGATGTTTTGTTTTTGTGTTTTTGTGTTTTTTTTTTTGAATTTTCACCTCATTAGTGGTCAATTAGTATTCTCAAATTAGTGGGATGAATCATTGTTGATATTTTAGTCTCCAATATTCATATTTGTTTTGATGTTACGTTAGAATGCTGATCAACCCTCATCATTATTTATAGACTCCCAAAGTGATTGAAAATGCTGAGGCTTGGTTTAGAAAGTGGGTTGACTTTTAGTTTTTTGATTTTTTTAAGTTATTTTAGCTCGGAACTAAAAAGTTTAGTTTGAGAAAGACTTTTGATTTTTTTAATTTTTTTTTGTGAAAGAATGAATGTAATGATTATGAGTTGAATGTGATGTTTTATCTTATTAGACTAAAAAATTTATTTTATTTTTTATGATTATTTTAACAAAAAAAAACTTCCAAACCCACTTTCCAAATAGGCATTGAGGTATCTCGGATTACACCATCAGTGGTTGTCTTTAACCGGGGACCCACTTTCCAAATAGGCCCAAATCAAAAAAAAAAAAAAACTTATTAATATAAAAATTAAAAATTCAAATCCAAATACAACAATTATTTTCAACCTTCCCTACAAATACGATTTTTGGGACTAAGCATCTCATTGGTAGGCGGTTTGATGACCCCTAGACAGAAAGAAATGAAGATGGTTCCATACAAGATAGTTAGGGCTCCCAATGGAGATGCTTGGGTTGAAGCTAATGGGCATCAATACTCTCCAAGCCAAATGCCTGGATCCTCTAGAGTGAAGACTCTCAAGTGATCTCTTAGAGTGATTCATCTAACGGCTGAAGTGCAAACTAACCAAAACGACGTCGTTTTGGTTAGTAATTTGAAAAATTAAAAAAAAAAAATTAAAAAAAATGGTGAAAATAGAAATGAAGAGAGAGAGCGGACACATAGCCACCGGAATAATTTTTCATCTCCGGCGCACTCTCCTTCGTTCTCCTCTCTTCTTCTTCTCCTCAATACATGATACATGGTAGCCCACAACTACCCAACCCTGTCTAAAACTCTCAAAGCTTTTCTTTCTTTCCTCTTTTCTCTCTAATTTTTTCTTTCTCTGTTTCTCTCCACACATTTTGAGAGATCACTTTATCTCTCCCTACAGTAGTGCTACTTTTTTCTTACATTTGCTAAAGCAAAATCCTAAAGCAAGAAGCGGAGGGGCTAAGGAATAAGCACCCTCCTCCCAGGCGTCGGTAGAACCATTCTCGGCCAGCTGAGCTCCTCATTTTCACTTGAAATTCAAACCTAATTTATCCAACTCATACACAATTACTCAAATCCAGTTTATGCAATTCAAACTTAATTCTTCCTCTTCGATCTTCAATTTATCAAATCCTATCCAACCATAACTCCCAAATCAAAAAAAAAAAAAAAAACTTATTAATATAAAAATTAAAAAATCCAAATCCAAATACAACAATTATTTTCAACCTTGCCTACAAATACGATTTTTGGGACTAAGCATCTCATTGGTAGACGGTTTGATGACCCCTAGACAGAAAGAAATGAAGATGGTTCCATACAAGATAGTTAGGGCTCCCAATGGAGATGCTTGGGTTGAAGCTAATGGGCATCAATACTCTCCAAGCCAAACGCCCGGATCCTCTAGAGTGAAGACTCTCAAGTGATCTCTTAGAGTGATTCATCTAACGGCTGAAGTGCAAACTAACCAAAACGACAGTAATTTGAAAAATTAAAAAAAAAAAAATTAAAAAAATGGTGAAAATAGAAACGAAGAGAGAGAGCGGACACATAGCCACCGGAATAATTTTTCATCTCCGGCGCACTCTCCTTCGTTCTCCTCTCTTCTTCTTCTCCTCAATACATGATACATGGTAGCCCACAACTACCCAACCCTGTCTAAAACTCTCAAAGCTTTTCTTTCTTTCCTCTTTTCTCTCTAATTTTTTCTTTCTCTGTTTCTCTCCACACATTTTGAGAGATCACTTTATCTCTCCCTACAGTAGTGCTACTTTTTTCTTACATTTGCTAAAGCAAAATCCTAAAGCAAGAAGCGGAGGGGCTAAGGAATAAGCACCCTCCTCCCAGGCGTCGGTAGAACCATTCTCGGCCAGCTGAGCTCCTCATTTTCACTTGAAATTCAAACCTAATTTATCCAACTCATACACAATTACTCAAATCCAGTTTATGCAATTCAAACTTAATTCTTCCTCTTCGATCTTCAATTTATCAAATCCTATCCAACCATAACTCCCAAATCCAAAAAAAAAAAAAAAACTTGTTAATATAAAAATTAAAAAATCCAAATCCAAACACAACAATTATTTTCAACCTTCCCTACAAACCTAGAGGAAAATAATCCCAAAGAAAAAAAAAGAGCATTTGGGAGAATATTGTTTGGTTTATTCGTGAATATTCGTTGGGATTGTTTGGTCGGTGAATTTGACAATCTCAATCGGTTCAGGAAAATTCGATGATGGGTTCCCAGACCCAAAAAACACAAAGCGCACAGAAATTCTTAATTATCAAATTCCCATTTCAAAGAAAATAAATTCAAACAGACCCTATAAACCTTCAGATGACGATGGGTGAGAGAGAGAGAGAGCGATGTCGAGAGTTTGTGCGACGATGGGTGAGCGAGAAAAAGAGAGCGATGTCAAGAGTTTGAGCGTTTTCCCAAGATCTGCCGATTGTGTTGTTCGTGGGCGACACCAGACTTGATCTCAACGGCGTGGGGAGGATCGATTGGAGTAGAGAACGTAATTGTCCATAGCAAGATTGATCGCCTCCGTAAAGTTTCTAGCGGTGAAGGCAGAAATCGATGAGCAATGAGAGAGAGAGAGAAGGAGAGCCGAAAATGAAAGAATTTTTTTTTTCCCCACCAACATAATCTCAACCTTTAATTTTATTAGTGGGGGCACCTGTCAAGTCCTAAAAGATCATTCTAGAATCCTTGCGCGCCAAGCCAAATTGGAGCGTTCATTCTGACCAAGATGAAAGAAACTGCAGAATCATATCTTGGAAAGACTGTCACAAAAGCTTTGATCACTGTCCCAGCTTATTTCAATAATGCTCAGAGACAAGCAACAAAGGATGCTGGACGAATTGCTGGTCTCGATTTGCAGAGAGTCATTAATGAGCCTACTGCTGCTGCACTTTCCTATGGTTTAAAATTTAAATTAAAGGGTATTGTCTAATCATGGATTTCATTTTAGACGATTCAATTTATTTATTTTGTAAATTTTTTTTTCCATATATCATCTATAAAAAAAAGTTTAAAAAAAGAAAATTGATTCTGTTATTCTATTTTTTTTTTTAATAATATTAACCACTTGACCAATAACATGCGTAAAAAGTTCCATTCCATTGATTTATAATATGAAAAGGGATGAAACAACTGGAGATGCAACTGGGTTGGTTGAGAGTTTTGAAAAAGATGCAAAGAATCTGTGATATAAGATTCCAACTGACAACTGCAAGTGATCCCCTAAGTAGTCAAACAATTGAAACTTCTCAATTTTTCAGAAGGAAAATGTTAGAGGTCCCAAATTTTCTATCAAACAAATGATCAAATGTCTCACGTGGGTGTGGGGTCCGCAAAATTGCGGACCCCACACCCACGTGAGACATTTGGTCATTTGTTTGGTAGAAAATTTGATGTCCCTTGCATTGCATTACTCTTTTCAGAATGGTAGCCCGCTTTGTCGGCTAGATTTCCTAGGTCAAACATTTGATGCCATCGTCACCACAACTCAACCATCATCATTATCCGTATCTCTGTTCACAACAAACTCTCTTTATTAATTATATTTGTACTTGGGATCGAAACGAGCTCATCAAAGGTGACTGACCATTCAGTCCAAGTCTGTGAGCCCATAACGGTGTGTATTTTCAAAATAAATTAGGCTTTTTTAATATTTATATTTTAATTTGAGAAAATTTAATGCCTGCGTGAAGTTTATTGTAAGTTCTGTTTCAATTCAATTTGTTTTTTTAATATATATTATTTATAAAATAATTAAGTTGATTTGATAATCATAACAAGTTTATTTTATCAAATTTATGTTCAAAAAAATAAACGATACACACACTTTTAAAAATATATCATCTGTTTCTTTAAACACAAACATGATAAAAAATATTATTACAACTATCAGATTCATTTAATTTTTTTATAGGTGATATATATGAAAAGTTTTACAAAATAATTAATTCTGATCATCATAATAAGACAATTATATGCTCTACTGATTTTTCAAATTCTCTCAGATTAAAATGCAAATGCGAAAAAATCCAACTGATAACTATACACTACGCTATGCTTTGCCTTCGTTTGGGATGTGAGTTGACTTTTTGAATTTTTAAATTTTCGGCTATTTTAGCCTAAAAATCTTGTTTAGGATAATTTTTTTGTCTTTTTTAACTTTTGTGAGAAAAAAATAAAATGATTATGATTTGGATGTAACATTTTATCTTATTAGACTAACAAATTTATTTTATTTTTTTGCAACTAAAATAATCCCAACCTAACCTAAATTTTCATGCCAAACGAACCCTTTGTGTTCGAGAGTAATTCTATTGTGTTTGAGAAGTCTTCAAAATTTTATCAAAAAGTAGTCACATTAGCTTGTGGATCTCATTCTAAATGATAACAAATGGAGCTATTTGCGGGTAAAATTTTGGAGACAAATTTTGGTGGGCCCCCACTGCTGTAATCTATATTTTGAAATTTTTTGATACATACTCTTTTACAAATATGTATTATATATATTTTTGTAATGGATATCATCTATTTTTAGATAAATATTATATATTTTTTTAAATAAAAATTAAGATAATTTTTAATTTAAAAATAAAATTACACATTTTTATGATATTATTACATATTTTGTGATATTATTTCATATTTTATGATTAAAAATTGTTTCGATAAAAAAAATGTAACACTTCGGAATTAATTTGAATTCAAGATTTTATTTTACCAAAAAATAAAATTAAATTCAAATGTTTTTTACCCAAAAAGATAGGTATTGGGCCAGACAAGCCCTATCCAACCTCACACCGCGCACCCGCGCCCCAAGCCCAGCCTAGCCCAGCCCGCTTGACCGACTGGACGGACGGCAGCGGCGCCCGCACGCGTGTGTGGTGATTTTTGGGTCCAATGGATCTAGCCCATTTTGCCCATAACCTCCATCTCTAAAACACTTGGGTACCCCTTAGGGCACACCCCAAGTTCCAATCATATGCCTTATAAACCCATTCAAAACTTCCCACCAAACCAATATGGAACAAGCCTTATTCAAACCTTTAAGGATTTTCCACCAAAACTCTATTTCCATGGAGCATACTTTGGCTTCAATTTCCCATTCACTTGGTAATGGACAATCTTCACTGTATTTAAATAAATTAAATTCTGTTGTATACTAAACAACAACAAGAATATAAAGAAATAAAGGAAATGAGAGAATTTGTTTGATTACAAAAATCAAACTAGAAATAAATAAATAAAAATAATTTTTATTTTGTTACAAAAACAAAATTAAAATTTGATTTAATAAACAAATAAAACAGAATAATAAATTAAATAACTTACTTGATTAATTTCTTCTAATAAATATCTGATCAAGTCCAATGTTTGACACTGTGTCATTAAAATAGATTCGTCCTCTCCACGGTGCTTTCAGAATGTGGACGTTTATCTCCCAAGATGAAATGATCAACTACAAACAATAGCAGCACTACAAATTGTTTGCCTAACGAACACACTAAGTGTTTATACTCTTTCTCACAAAAATTAAATGCAGCAAAATGAAGAATAAATTTGCAGAGGTGAAGTACGAAATTTCTGAATGTGTAAACATCAAATGAGGCCTGTCCTATTTATAGATGTAGTGGTGGCTGCAGGTTTTGAATTAAACAGGTATGAAACCTGTTTGGTTTTGAATTTAAACAGATTTGAATCTGTTGGGTTCAAAAATTCAAACAGGTAAAAAAGGGAAGGGCTCTGTTTGGGTGTACAGTAAAACCAGACCAGTTTATTTTCGGAATTAATTTGAATTCTAGATTTTATTTTTCAAAAAATAAAATTCAATTCAAATGTTTTTGACCTAAAAAGAAAGGTATTGGGCTGGACAAGCCCAATCCAACCTCACACCACGCATCCGCGCCCAAGCCTAGCCCCGTCCGACGGCGGCGCGAACACGCGTGTGTGGTGATTTTTGGGTCCAATGGGTGTAGCCCATTTTGCCCATAACCTCCCTTTCTAAAACACTTGGGTACCCCTTGGGGCACATCCCAAGTTCCAATCCCATGCCTTATAAACCCATTCAAACAAATATACCACGTGAATCACAACGCGGCATAGAACGCGTTATCACTTTGACCCGCCAACTTTGACGCTCGGGTCCTACCTAAATAATAGACCAAAGTTAGGAAAAAATTCTGATTTTACCCAGAATTTTCCAACAATTTCCAACAAATTCCACATGCAAATATAACTAACACTCTTAGTAATTTTTACATATATATGGTGAGATTAATTATATTTACATATCAATAATGATGGATATTACATTTATATTAAAAAAATTTTACAAAATTTTCATACATAAAATATAATTTGTTGTAGTCACTTCATTTTTAATAAAACAATCACTATTATTTTCGTAAATTTAAAAATACCCTTGATATTTTATTCTAAATATTATTTTTGTTTAAAATTTTATTTATATACATAAAAAAAAATTCAAGGACACATGACCCCTAATCTCCATGTGATTCCATCATTGATTGTACCCTTATATATTGATAATTTTTTTTCCCTTATCCCACCTATATATAATTTCTCCCAATGTTTTGCTCGTTGAATTTGAAGGACTTTCGACTAACCTCGTGGCACATGATGGTTTCATGTTTTTTATCACGTTTTTCTTGCTTGCATAAACCTCTTTTTTTAATTACTATTTAACACTTTTGTCCATGTGACATTGGTTCTTTTTTATTTATTCTTTTTTTTTTTGTCCAGTTATAAATTAAAATTTAAAAATCCTAACACGTGGTATTTTTTTTATTATTATTTAACACCTTTGTCCTTTTCATGTTTTTCAAAATTTTCAAAAGAAATAGGTGCTATCAATTATATATAAGAATTTAAAAGAACGTTCGTGCCATAAATATAATTTCTAAACTTATTTAACAATCACCCCAGACGCTAAGTTCTAGGCCACAAGGAAACACATAACCCCTGTGTTTATTTGTATTTTAAAATTTTAAAATCTTATAACTTCTCTTTTTTTAGATAGAAAAAATCCCATAACTTGAGTTCTATAACTCCATATTTAACAAAATTAATATTTCTGAATTCATATTTTCAAGATCTTTTAAACAAGTATAAAAACTTTGACAAAAAAATAGGGACATTTTTGCCCAGTGCTTTGTATTTAAAAATCTTAAAATTTCATAACTTGAATTCTACAAATTATTGTTAATAAAATTGATATTTCTAGATTTGTCTTTTCGGGATCTTTCAAATAAAATCAATATTGAATGTGAAATTTGAAAGAGGAAAAAAAATGGGACAAATATGCTTATATGTGCTTTTTTAAATTTAAAAAATAAAATAAAAATAGGAACATATTGTATACTTTCAAATCACTTTCAAATGAAAAACAAAGGAAAAAAAAAAAAAAAAATGAGCACAAATGTTTGGTTTGAGTTTTTTGAATTAAGTTTTTTGAAAACTGAGTTTTTTAGTATTCGTGTTTTTTTGTTTTTAGTGAATATTTTTAAAATTTTAAACATTTTAAATTTTTTTTGATGCATCTTACGTAGATGTATCTAAAAAGTAAAAAATTTATAAAAAAATATTTTTAAAAATTAATAAATACATAAAAATACAAAAAATGTACTGAATTCTCGTATTTTTTTTTATATTTTTGGTATTTAGTGAAATTTTAAAAGGTTTTTTTCAATTTTTTTTTACTTTTTAAGTATATTTATGTTAGGTATGTCCAAAAATTAAAAAAAATTGCTCAAAATATTAAAAAAATTCAGTAAAAATATAAAAATACGAAAAATAAGAAAGTAAAATTTTCTAAAAAATATTTTTAAAAAATGATAACCAAGCATAATAGGTCCACTTTCAAATTAAAAAATAGAGATAGATAAGTTAAAATAATGGAGATAGATAAGTCAAAATAATGGAGATAGATTAGTTCAAATACAAGGACAGATAGGCTAAAAGATGGAACACATTGGTCCAAATATGAGGGACAAATAAGTTAAAAATATAGGAACAGATAGGTTCAAATATGACGGACAATAGGTTATAAATAGGAAAATTTATTAGAAAAACTTTTTTCAATTATTATATCTCAATTAGTTTATAAAATATTTTTATATTTTAATAAGTCTTATTATTTGGACATTTAATCTATTAAATCTTAATTCTCATATTTAAGCTATTTTTGTATATATTTCTACTCTTATAAATATTTTTTGAACGGTTAACAATTTGGTGATGTGAATATTCATATTTTACAATGTGAATATTCACATTGACATGTTAACATTCACATTGATGGTGTAAACATTCACATCACGGAACATTCACACTGTAAATGTGAATATTATTAAGGGTATTTTGATAACTATGTCACTCATAGAACTTATTAGAACATAAAAAAATAATACGAACTAAATAGAACATAAATAGGTAAAAAGAGATTTATGAAAAAATATTCCTTATAAATTTGTCTATCTATCTATTTTTAAAGCCTATTTATCTATTTTTAAATTGAAAAATGTGAACCAACAGATCTATATGTCCATTTTTGAGGCCTACCTATCTATTTTTAAGGCTTGCCTTAGGTATTCGTTTTGAGAACCAATCTGTCCATTTTTTAAGCCTATATTTTTGTTGTTTTGGAAAATGAGTGAGATTCCTTCTGGAAAGATTTTCACAATTGCTAAAGTAATTTACACCACTTATGATGTAGGGGGTTCACTCATGTATATGTAGAGTCCACATCATGAGTGGTGTGGATCACTTTGAGAGTTGTGAGGATCCTCCAAAAATGGGGTCTCTATCATTCTTGTAATGTTTATTTGTCCACTTTTCAGTTAAAAATGATTTATTTTTTGTCTATCTATCTCTATTTTATATATTTTTGTCCATTTTCAAGGACTATAAATAATCTAAACCTACAAAAAATTAATAGGAAAAAATGAAGTACAAAAAAAAAAAAAAAAACGTTTATGGTATTAAAATTTTAAAAAGAAAGGGTTTCTAAATCATAATTTTTTTTTTTTTTTTGGTAACTAAATAATCAAGAAGTCATAGCTTTACATTGGTAGTTCGTTTTGGACATTTTTTTATTTCATATATTTTTTTGAGATCTATCCATTCGAAATTGCCAAAGGCAATTTTACATCCTTATTTTTGCAAAAAGAATGTTATTTTGGCTCTACTTTGTATTTTTTCCGCATAAATCACGAACCACAACATCAAAAAAATCAATCTATTCAAAAAAAAATTAAAATTTTATTTTCAATATTATCTTGTTTTAAATATCTTGAAAAGACAATTCCAAATATATCAATTTTATTAAAAACAAATTTTAAAATTATACCATTTTAAAAATATTTAACACAAAATGCACATAAAAAAAATAAACATATCAAGAATTATCATTACCACTGTACGTTTGGACTCAATAATATCAAAGCTTGCACTTTTGTCCCAAAACACTCAGTGCATCGGATTTTTCCACTAATTATCCCAACAAAAATATAGGGCAAATTAAATCGGTAGATTTTATATTGCCTCTTGTCTCTTTTCGTCTATATATTTTTGATTAGCTCAATTTTTATTTTTTATTTTAAATTTTGTGTCAATTTGGTTTAATTGACAACAACATTAGATTTTTTTTTATGAAAACAATCATTAAGTTAGTTGAGGTTATCTACTGAATTGGTCAAATTTATAATTTTATTCCTAAAAGTATGGCATATGTGCACATTTTTCATAAAATAATGCTAATAGATGTACTTAATTAAACTAAATTGAGACAAAATAAAAAGATTCAAGATCAAAATCGAACTAATTGAAATTATAAAAATTAAAATGACACAAAGGTCAAATTATAGAGATTACCAATACAATTTGCCTAAAAATAAATTACTTTATTTTATATAATACTCACATGTGTCAAATAAATTTTTTTAATTCTTATTTAACAACTTTGTCCTTCTGACCTACCAAAAAAAAAACTTTGTCCTTTTTAGATTGGTCCTCATTCATATTTTTGTCTGTCTTTTTTTCTTTCTTTTTTTTTTCAAAAGAAATAGGTGCTCTCAATTATTATAAATTAGAAATTAGAAATTAGAAACCCCAAAATGTGGTATTTTTTAAAATTTTTATTTCACACGTTTGTCCTTTTTAGTTTGTTCCTCTTTGATATATATATATATATATATATATCTTAAAAGAAATAGGTGCTCTCAATTATAATCTAGAATATAGAAAACCCAAGAGCATCTCTAACGGTTAACCAAATTTTTCACTAAATTTGAATAAAAAAAAGCTAATTTTTTCAATTTGATATGGCTTGCTCCAACCATGCATCAAAAGGGAATTGTTGACCAGTAAGAGTAATTTTTTTTTTTTACCTGTTTGAACCTTTTTTGATCGGTTTGAACCCACTATTTGAAAGGAAACCGGTCGACCGGTAGGTCAACCAGCCGGACAACTGGGTGGTTGATCGGTTGGCTCACCCTAACGGTAACGCACAATGAAATGGTGAAGTCTGGAGTCTGTTCTCAGTTTGATGAATTTTTTGTTCCATTCTCACTTTGATATTAATTTGGTGAAACCATTATGGTGTGTTTGGTTGGGGGATTTGATGAGGGATTTGGAAAGGGAAATGAAAAATGTAGGTGAAATGTGAATAAAACATGTCTATATTTCACCTAGTTTCATACACATTTTCTCTTTTTCTTTCCAAATCCCTCCCCAAATCTCCCAATCAGAGTTTCAAAAAGTAATTTTTTCACTAAATTTTAGATCTAATATGAAATTTGATACACTGTTAAAGATGTTCTAACGTGTGGTAATTTTTTTTACTTTAATTATTTAACACCGTCCTCTTTCATATTTTTTTCCAAAAGAAAAAGGTGCTCTCAATTATAAATTAGAATAGAATTTAGAAAACCTAACATGTGGTGACCACGGACCGCATCTGATGCCCACGTGAATCAGTGCCCAATTCATGGGAACAAAGTGCAACAAATAAAGTGCTAATCAATAAATATAAAAAATAAATAAATTAAACATTATCGGTTATAATAAATAAATTAATTTTTTTTTACTACTCATACATAATTTTATTAGTAGTACTACATATACTAATTAGTGTATATATTAATATACTAACTAGTATTATGATATTATTATTAATCATATTTATTATACAAGTTACAAATATTCAAAATTATATAAATGATACCACATTATCTGTTAGTACACTAATACATACATTAATTGGTACATATAGTATTATTCTAATTTTATAAGTATCTTATCTTTTTTTTGGTGTCCTCTATATTATCTATAAATTTTTTATTTTTATTTTTTACTTGCTTAACCAAATTTAATGTTATATTCCTACGGGTAATTTTTCAAGATATCCTACCTCTTTTTCTTTTAATTTAATATTTTTTAGAATTTTATTATTATCTACAAATAATAAACTACTACTCAATAAATATAAAAAATAGACAAAGAATCATAGGCCAACTTGCTTATTTCATATGTTGTTATATACAATTATAATGTAAACATTCACAACATGTGTAAATTGATCACACACTCTGTGAACATTCACCCCTGTGTTTAGTTCAAACATATCACTTTTGTTATTTCCATATCAACTTTAATGTTTTAAAGTGTAATTCAATTTAGATGTTGAACTGTAACATCGGCATTGCATGATTGTAATAAGTATGTGCATTGTCATCTAAATTACAAGTGTGGATGTTCAGAACATAATTTGATCTATTGGGTTAACATTTGACGAATGTGGATGTTCACATCCACCAACTGTGAATGTTCACATCATTATGTTGAATGTTCATATCACTAATGGTGTTAGCAAAATATACCACTTATTACCTATTCATAAGTATTGTGTTAATTTTTATGCTCCATTTAGCAGATGTTGCACATAAGAAATTGTTTAAGCGAAAAAGAGAGAAATATCATGTCAAGGAAGAAAGCCCACATACAAATAATAGCAGTAATATTGACATGTGTCGTGTCAACTATAGATCGAACATGACAGGGTTGGTGAAACTAATGAAAAGCACAAAGTCCACAGAAGCACAATTTGACTGCCTACGACGAACACCTTTCGCAATTATCAGATGCATTGAGAACCGGTGAAATCAACCGCGACAAGTGCACGAAGCATGATGATGTTGTTGTGCATGTTCTACAGACGTACAAGGCATCCAAAGATGCTTTCTACATTGGCTATAAAAAAATGAACATGCACGACAGTGACATTAAATTGGTTTTTGGTGTGGATTGTGGCATCAAACTAATGGACATATCATATGGTGCGAAGCCAAGACTGACATTATAAACAAAAGGTGCAAAAATGTCAGCCGGTTGACTTCAAAATGGATGGGCACCCTTTTGAACGAGGCATTAACTGGCAAGAAGAAAAATGACAACGAAGAAGTCGTGTGATTAGTCTGCTTGTATGCATGCCATAAACTTTTTTTCTTGACGAGCGATGAGACAATAGGATGGGGCTACTATACACATATGGTCCCATTGGAAAGCATGCAAGAATATGATTGGGCCAAAAAAATTTGAACAACCCTGACATCCTCCATTTCCCAAAATGCCAAAAAGTCGAGGAAAGTCACTGGCTGTGTCATGTTGTTGATGGTAAGGACCCATGTTCTCAAATGTTAATATTCACATGTTCTTGAATGTTGTTGATGGTTGTGTCAATACACACTGCCCTTTACACACACACACATACATACTGTGCACACTGATTTCAGTCTAAAACAGCGAACATCCACATCCATGGCTAGATGTGAATATTCAGATCCATACACATAACTGTGAACATTTACATCTGTGCCACTGTTATGAATGTTCACATCTGTTGATATTGCTCTGAAATGGTTGAATAACATAGATCTTTGTTACTTGATGCAGTACTAGTTGTGTGAACACACAACCATCCTACAACCTCACAAGCCCAATGTCATTCCTCATTCTGTGAAATGGGACCCGAATGCTTTATACAAGAAGATGAAATCCACGTCTTTGACTGAGCTTGGTTTTAATGACGTACGACCTTTAAATGTTTTTACAAACATTCACAAAATGACACCAACAGAACATGTCAGTTTACTAAAATGACTTTTTCATTTCAGGTTAATGCCAGCAAGCTGTACGCAATCCAAACAGAATTGCAAAAGTTCAATCGTACCACATTGCAGGTGGAGCCCCAATGCAATGAACCAGCCATCACATTGCCCTAACGCGATAACATCAAAGATGAACAACATGGTGACAACAACTCTAAATTTTTTGGGGAGAGAGTTGACCTAAATGATAGTGACGATGACATCAACATTCCCTTTAGCAGCCCACCTAGTGAGAGAGCTATTGTCGTAGCAAGTACAAACCAACTTGACATCATCGATATGCTTGTCAAAGAAAATCGGAAGGCATGGGGCATCATAAGGCAGTGGGAAGAAAAATACAAACACCTTGAATCCTTATGGGAGTTAAGGGCAAGAGTGATAGCTGATCTTAAAGATATACTATTCAACCAATCAATCCCACCCAACATGAACACTGAAATCAAGAATTGTTTGGAGAGAAAGGATGCTAAAATTCGGTGCTTGACACAGTTGATCATCGACATAGAATGCGAGAAAACAATTCTTTAGGACCTATTTGATAATCAATCCATCCACATTGTCACATAGGTCGAGGTGCAGAAGTATCATGACATCCTTAACAAGCAACCCCCCCTCCCCCCCAATAGAACACAATCTCAGTCCACCTTCTAAGGTGAAGCGTATCAAGGAGAAAGAACGAAAAGAGCACCGTTTGCCTGACTTCCAGTACCCAAACCTACCTGCCAAAACAAAGAGCAAAAGCGAGGTCCAAACCAGCCACATACAGTCCACATAGTATAAGATGTGGACAAGAATCCACTGACGAAGCACCCAAAAAAATTATTGACATTGACCAACAAGTTCAAGGTTTGGAGCATGATGTCTAAACAAGACAAGTAAAAGGCTAAAATTTGTAAAAGAGTGTAGGCGATGAGTAAGTAACTATACAAACACCTAATGTGAACATTCTCATTTCATACATGTGTGAATATTCACAGTTATACTTGATGAGTTGGTTTAGTTTACTTATGTGTAATATTAATATTCACATTGGTATACTACAAATGCACAGTTGCTTGTGTACATACGTGTATTTTGATGACATTGTGTACCTTATCAATAAAGAATGAATGCATAGCAACGTGTGTCATTATAAAAAAATTATTCACTATTCACACACAAACACAGACACATACACATACGGATACACAAACACATAGATAGACACACGGACAGCCACACAGACACACAACCACAAACATACACACAGACACACAGATACACACGCACACACACACACACACACACACACACTGTTCACCCGCACACACTGTTCACCCGCTATAAATAATGTAATACAACCCTATGTTTGTGCATGTGATAGATACATATGCCGAACTACTACTTGAACAACAAGAGGTGGTCAACCCAACTTCAAAGGAAGCCTCATTCATCTTCACAAGCATGTGTTTGGTACCAACTCTAACACTGTTTATTTTTCTTGATGGGAATGTGAATCTTCACATTCCATTAATATGACCATTACATGATTACCGTATTTGAATATGATCAATAGAATTGAATGTCCAATGTGTACAGAAAGTGATACGAGAGTACCCTCCTGGCAAAAGAAATAAACATATTAATGAACATATGAAACACTACCGAAGAGAGAGATAATTCCCTTTGCACCATAACTTCCACTGGACGATCATTGTGTACGATGTTAAAGACAAATTGTGGAGGCATCATAACTCGTTGCAACCAAGGCCCGACATACATGACCCGCATGTCGACCAAGCACAGCAAGTTGTAAGTGGCTGGATAACACATATATGAATTATTGTAATGTGTTAAATTCCAAAATACATGTACACACATATATGTTCGTTAGTGCCTAAAGTGAAATTCCTTTCACAAAGGGACTACATCGGGAATGTTGTGCGCTTTATTGGCCAGTTATCACCTCTATGGACTACGTTCACAAGCCAATTCCGTCACAACAAATCATATCAATTGATGTATGTCCTCAGCAAGCCGACACCTCGTAAGCCTCACAACATTTTTTACAAATCCTCCACAACTATTATACGAAACATAAATGTCAAGTGCTAACCATAACCATTTTGCATTTACAGGGTGGACTGTAGGCTTGCAGTATGTTACATCATGCGTGCATATGTATACCATGAAGACATTATTGATAGCCTCACACGTTCTGAATGGTGTGGATTACAAGACTTATTAGTACACAGTTTTTTGAATCACAAAAAAATAGTGCGCCATGAAAACCTATAGGTGAGGGGTGTCCACCTACACACTAACCTACACTCGATGTGATGCTAATATCAATTGCTTAACATTTTGACCAAAAAAGAAAAGATTGTAAATCAGTGATTTGACATTTATTAATGTTCCAATATGCCACTTGTGCATTTTGATCTACATTTGGTGTTGATCCGTTAGTTTATGTTTTTGTTTGAACCACATTGTTCTATAATACACATATTATGTGCAGGGATATTCACATTGTCTTTACGACAACATTATGAAAGTCATTGACAGGTGTGAATATTCACACCATGTTACACTAAATGCATGTGAAAGTTCACATCTCAAATTATATTCATATCAACATTCACAACAATAATGTGAAAAAGTTTAATACAGGCGCGAATATTCACATAGTGTGAATAGTCAACATAAGTGTGAATGTTCCCATCATCACATTGTATGTACATCTGAATGTTCACATTTTCCATTAGAACTCTTGTGTATTTGTATAGTATGATGTGAATATTCATATCAGTACATGTATTCGTCATCAAAACACCAACAAATGTTAGTTAGCCACCCAAAAAAAAAAAAATAATGTCCCATCTTTTTGCACCCTCATTCCAAAATACTACAACAAAACAAAATGTAGACAACACAAATGAAATAATATAATTGAATAAAACACATTATTATGTTTGCCAACACAACGTAATCTTATTCCAAACATCAATAAAAGAATCCCACGTAAAACACAACGTTGTATACTTTATATCGGCTCCTTATTTGCTTCAGTTTCTCACCCTTTGATAGGATTTTATTCTTTTTCGCCCTACCAGGTGGTCTTTTCGCGGTTGGTGGGTATATGGTAAAGTCCGTAGGATCAAAAGACGGCTTTTCCACAAACGATATGGGGAATATGGTATCCAAATAGGCTACATGATACGTCTCTACATGAAAGTAATGTTCAACACAATCATTGAGATTGTACCGGCTCTTTTGAATAGCAATAACAGCCTGGTCACATGGGAATTCGTTGATTTTCCATTGGAAGCAAGAACACGTACGCCTTGCAATATCAAGTGTCACGGATGGTATTGAATAAACCTCGAATACATCTTTATTGGCTTTGCTAACCTGCCAAGACCTGTTGTCATTGAACAAATCAAGAAGCATGGTTTTTGAATTTAGGACAAATAACCCCATTCCACTTGTTTGCTTGGTCATGCCGCGCCGACATTTGCCGCATCAACTAAGTACGAATCATGTCCACCATCCGAGTGATAGAAAGATTACATGCTTCTTTAATCCAATTATTAAATGACTCTACTGTATTGGATGCCATCCCTCCATAACGCATGCCCCTGCACAATATCATAACATTGTACAACACTAAAGTTAATTTCTTCGAAACTGATTATGAAATTTCACATCGCCACAAGACATGACTGAATTTTATACAAGCTCCTTGTCACGACCCAAAACTGCCCCTAAAAGTTTGGACATGACTGGCCTAACTTAAGGCCTCAACTTTGCTATAATAAATTTTACTCAATATTAGGGCTAGAACGGAAGCAAAATAATAGAATAAGACATTCATTGAGCTGTAACTACATGCCAGGATCTTAATGCATTATCATACATAAGTACATGACATTTCATACACCATTTACATTACTGATTAAGAGGAGAAGGTAATCACCCAAAGGTTAGGTAATGCCAAAGCATATTTACATATATCTATTCCTCCTAATTCCAACAAAACATGCCAGCATACAGATTTTCCAAAATTAAACAAAAGAGTCACTTCGAGTGACTCAGCAAAACGATTCAGTAAAGGACTCCTGGCTGACCTACGGTTGCTCCTCGAGCTGATTACCTACAAAACATCCACAAAAGAAAATGAAGTGCGCAAGGCTCAGTAAATGATAGTAATACGAACAGATTAAGGGTCCGAGCATAATTTAACAATGCATATTCATAAATCACAAGTTGGACCTATTCATATTTCTTTTTATGAACGGCCTCGGGCCCACATAAGACAAAACGGCCTTAGGCCCAACATAATACAGAATGGCCTTAGGCCCAACATATAACAGAACGGCCTTAGGCCCATCGTAATACAGAACGGCCTTAGGCCCATTATAATAGCAAAACAGCCTCGAGTCCAACGAAATACAAAACGACCTTAGGTCCATTATTTTAGCAAAATGGTCTTAGGCCCATCATAATAGCAATTAGAACGACCTCGGGTCCATATCTCATGTGCCAAAGTTCAAACATATATCAAACATAACTCTTATAACATAAGTTATTTACCAAATGAATGAATAAGATATCGAACCACACATATGAATATAATGCATGAATGAAACATGACATTACACTACTATCACTCATAGTGATGCGGGTGAACAATGGTGCCCTCCTGTATGTGCCCTACACACAGCACACAACTTGTAAGTATATCACCTTTTTCTTAGCTTCTTCTTATTTCTCAATTATCTGATTCATTAAACTCCATGTAATTTAATGCGTTATAGGAACATCAAATGGCCATAATAACGCATTCAAAGGGTCGAAAAGAGCGAAAGAAAATTACAAAATTTTTTAGTTTGGGTCGCACGTGCGGAAGTCCCTGCCGCACATATGGGCAGGTACGCCGCACGTGCGGGTTGCACGTGCTTTTATTGCAGTGTAGCCCAATCTTTCTCCCCTGTTTTCCGTAAGTGCGGCTATGAGCCTCGCACGTGTAGTCGTATACCCTGTTTTGGGCAGTCCAAAACTCCATCCAAATTAAACTTTCCAAGGCATTTCTAAGGGCAAATATAGGCAACACCTTCTCAATATCATATTATGTGAGCATAACGAACAAAGATTCATACATAAATAGATCATAATTCACCTTAAGCAATTTATACAATTTTATAATCATATTTCTTTTCATCTTTTCATGATTAAGCAAAGTAGATACAAACATATGTGCAAAGACCAAAGATTATCTAACACAAGAATCAACCCTCAACTAGATCAAGACAATGGATCTTGATGTCTTCCATGGATATTTACCAATCAAAGTGAGTAGCTCAAAAACCCCAAATTAAATAAGTGGAGAACATCATCCTCAAGCTTGATACAAAACAATTGGAGTGAAATTTAGGGTATTTGAGTTAGATTACACATACCTTGTCCTCTATTCTTTGAATCATCTAGCCAAAACCCTTCAATTCCCAAGCCCTAATTGCTGTTTCCTTCCTCTCTTCTTTCTCTTCTTT